ATACCTGCGATACCACCTACTGCCACCGGTAGTCTCCCACCGTCCAGTGCGATCCCACAGAGTTGGCCTCCTCAAGGTGCCGTCGGCCAGACAGTGTCGGCTAGCGATCCCCAGGGGGAGAGCTTTCTTTGTGGAAGAACCTTCCCTCTGGAATGAGCTGCCCTCTGAGTTTCGTATAATCCCCAACCTCTGGTCCTTCCGATGCACCCTAAAAAGTTGGCTTTTCCAGCAAGCCAGCCTGGCCTGAACAAAACAAAACAAATTATTGATCATTGTTAATTTTAATCAATTTTTTTTAAAAAATGTTATTGTTAATCCTAATTGGGTTTGTTTGGGATATTCTATTTAATTTTTTTAAACTTTTGGAATATGTGTTTTTTTTTAATGTTGTACGCCACCCTGAGTCCTTGGGAGAAGGGCAGCATATAAATCCAATAAATCAAATCAATCAATCAATAGACTTATCAGAGGCAGACTATAATGTTGTCGTATGAACACCAATGTACATACAAATACTTTTCTTGATGCCTATCAAGCTTCATACCCTGTATAACTTTATTATTTTTGATTCTGAAGTTGATATATATAAATGGGAAGCAAGAGTGCTGCAGAGAAAAGCAAAGCACATCCCATAGTGTAATATTTATTTAAAATAGTAGTTTTTGGCAATTGTGGGTTTCAAATAATTTAATAACCGGTTCTCTGCCCTAATGACCAGCTGGGTAGGTGGGGCTCGGTGGTCATGTGACTGGGTGGGTATGGCCAACTCAATGTGACTCAGGTCGATGGGGGCTTCACCTTAGCTGTTACAATGTAGTAAGGGTTAACTGGAGAGGCGGTTTCTGTAAGCAGGGCAATAAAGATTAGACTAGAAACAACATCAGAATGTTTCCTTCCTGCCTTCCTTACAGGATTAGCCCTTTAAAGTGAAAAAAACAAAAGGGGATTTCTTCCAATAACCGGTTCTCCAAACTGCTTAGAAAGTTAACAACCAGTTATCCCGAATAGGTGCGAACCGGCTGAATCCCACCACTGGTTCTTGGCCTCACCTAGCCACCATAGCCTATATGAGGTATTAATTTAAGTGATAACAATTTCCTAGAATTATGTCTACATGACAGATGACAGGAGTCTGTCTTTTGGAAGAAGTGATTTTTGTGACTAGTCTTGCCTTTCGTGGCTATCATTTTATAAATAGTCAAGGAGTTCTAATAATAGCTATTTTGATAAAATAGCTAAGGTTGATGCTCTGAAAATTCCACTGGGTTGTACAAGTAGGCCTTGACACAACCACAATTTGGACCACATCTTGTGTGGTTAAGTGATGCAGGTATTAAATGAGCCATGTCTGATTTTACAACTTTTTCTGTTGTTGTTAATCAAATCACCACAAATTACACAATCATTAAATGAATCCACCTTTCTCCATTGCTTTTGCTTGTCAGAAGCCACCCGGAAAGATCATGAATAGCGATCCCAAGACCCAAGGATGCTGCAACCACCATAAATATATGCTAGTTGCCAAGCAACTGAATTTTGGTCATGCGACTGTCCAAAGAACAACCCTAAGTCACATTTTTCCATGCCATTGTAACTGAATATTTGTTAAATGAATGTTTGTTAATCAAGAACTACTTGTAAAGGCTAGCTCCCATCTACAGCGTTCACTACAGATATAATGTGTTCATGGTAGGAATATAGGAAACAAAGATGAAATATATAAAGAAGTAGACCTATTAGTAAGAAATATGGTTTTATGGTATATTAATGACTCACAGATTTACAGGTAAAAAGATAAAGATTTCCCTGTCAGTTGGGTCTTACTCTAGGACATGGTGCTCCTCTCCATTTCTTGGCTGAGGGAGCCAGCATTGTCCCAAGATAATTTCCTTGGTCATGTGACCAGCATGACTATAGGCCAAAGGTGTATGGAACTCTGTTACCTTCCCACTGAAGTGGTTCCCATTAATATACCTGCATTTGCATATGGCTGGGTGGGCTGGAGCCAGTGCAAATAATAGGAGCTCATCCCGTTGTGTGGAGCTTGGGTCTTGAACACGGGCTGTCAACTCTCCAGCTGACAAGCTCAGCTTCTTTCACCATACTGAACCATTAGGTCTCTGTTCTGACCTAGGCTTCCCAAGAGCATGAAGCAAACTCCTTGTCCTGACAAAAATCCCTTTTATTAATTTACTGTGAATTCTGCTTATTCACATCCATTATTTGGCTTGGAGAGCTGACTAGCCGATATCTGCAAAACTTTGCAAGGAGTCTTGAGAGTCACGAACCAATTAAGTGAACTAATTGTCTCCTGCAAACTCCATTCCCCTTTCGTCCTCTTTTATTTCCTCTGGGAGGGTCATTCATTGTCCACCAGGGTCCCAAGT